TAGCTATTCACCTTGCTCAAAGCTGGGAGCTAGACCAGATAACCTCCCAAGGTCCCTTCCAGCTCTTGGATTCTAGAGTCCCTGCTCCAACACTTCCTAGCTATGGCACCACCGGTAAGTCACTCACTTTTGATTTTTACTCTCCTCATCTGTGGAGTGGGAAAAATAATGCTTGCATTACCTACTCCACAGTGACTTGGGAAAGTATAGTATAAATCCTAATAAAAAGAAAGCTTTTTTTTTTAAAGGAAGCATGCCATCTCTGTTTTTGTCTAACTCGGTAAAAATATTGAGTGGAACAGGGGCAAGGACAGATTCTTGAGGGTTCCATGAGAGATCTTTCTCCATGTTAAAATTAATCCATTAAACACAACTCTTTGGGTCATTGATATAATATCCTTCTATCAGAGGGATGATGCCCTGATGATTAGGGTTGTCACTGTGGCTGATGGAAATACAATCTTGTGTAGAAATCATTGCAGGGTCCAAACTGGAATCTAAGTGCACATAAAAGAGAGGCTAGAGACTGAATAAGGAACTAAGGTTTCTTGAAAGCTCCAAAATCCAAGGGGGATTGAGAACAGATATGGAAAGAAGGAAGCCAAAGCAGCAAGTTCAAGACTTTATTTAGTGGGAATTTACTGAGACAACTAGGTGGTGCAGTGGATAGAGCACTGGCCCTGAAGTTAGGATAGATCTGAGTTCAAATCCTGCCTCAGACCAAACACTTGAAACTTACTAGCTGTGTGACCCTGGCCAAGTCACTGAAACCCAATTGCTTAAAAATTTTTTAGAAAAGAATTTACTAAGAATATGAGTGGAATTATTGTTTGCCTAAAGCAACCTGCCTTCCCTAAACTTCAGTCTTCTATGGCAAAATGCATTTCATGGTTCCTTTCTGTGCTGACATATTAGTATGATCACAAGCTGAGTCCAATGGATCCCCTCTTGATTCAGTTGCACCAGTGATGTTGTGGGTGCAGACACCATCTCTAACTCTAGCATGATTCCTTAGACCTCAAGATTGTGGCTTGGTGGGATAGTGTTCATGGAAGTCCTCTGTACCATACGCCAACTCTCATATCCTTTCCTTAGGCCTGCATCCTTGTCAGTCTATTAGATACTAAAGGTGACCACATCACTTTTGTCAACCAAGGATTACCTGCATAATCCATTGCCCATCCAAAATGAACATCACTGTGCAAAAGCTTCATAGGGGGTATTTTTTGAAGTGGAGCTGAGCTCATGAAAACAAGGATGAGTAGAACATTGAGTGACTAAGGAATAATGAAAGTATCCCCAGTAGGCCACAGGACTCACTGTTTGAGGTGAAAGCTTGCTCACAGAATCTGATTAACAAATAACTTCTAAGTCCATTTTTGCAAAGGTAAGTGAGGTGATCAATTCCTTCAAAACCTTCATGGTCTCTATAATTATGGACAAGACTGTGTTCTTCCTGGCCCAGAATTAGCACAGTGTGTATATTCATATGTGGTTGGTTTTATTTTTATTGAGTGACTTCCACAAAGATGTGTTTTACACCAGCCAAGTCACTGAGATGTGGCTACCTTTGGCTTCCTGCTACAGGCTAGTTCTATTCCTCAGGAGATCTATCTCCTGAGTGAGTCACATAACAAAACCTCAAATCTTAATCTCTCTCTCTTTCTCTCTCACTCTCTCTCTCTCTCCATACATACATACATACATACATACATACATGCATACATACATGCATACATACATACATATATAGGTACATATATATGTGTGCATGTGTGTGATTTTGATACATTGTGACAAGTGAAACATTGTCTTTCTGTAGGCAGGTGAAGATAGAGAAAAGAAAATGAGTAGATTTAGACAGCTGTTGCTCATACAGTACTCCGTGGGGGAATCCATCAATGTGCATGCAGCCCACAGGGATCACAAAATATCTCTCAAAGAGGTCTGCTCCAAATGTTGTTGGACCCCCAAGTTATTTGGAGCTTGTGCTCCAGTTTACAGAGGGGGTGGGCATTGGGATGAGAATGAGTTTGAAGGGTATCAGCAATGCCCTGTCTCATCACAGGGGGGCTAACATTTGCTGGTGCTAAGAGAAAATCTTCCTGGAAGGTTTAAATCAGGCATAAACCAGAGGCAAAACTGGTTGGGAACTAGTTTCTTGGGAATGTCAAAATCCAAGGGCTATATAAACAGATATAGGAAACAAAGGACTGGAGGAGAGATTTCAAGCTAGAGAGAAGTTTATTTTTACTTAGGAGTTAAGCTAAGAAGGAAGGAGAGAAGGAAAGAAGGAAACAAACTTTACAAATATTATTTTGCTTAGTCTTCACAACTACCCTGGGAGGTAGGTTCTGGTATGGTACACATTTTACCTTTGAGGAAATTGAGGCAGAGTGATTTTCCTAGGATCATAAAAGCAGTAAACATCTAAGTTTAGAGTATATGACATACTTACTGAAGGAAAATTTATCTTTCCCTTCCATGATTTTAAAAGCAGCTGAAGCACAGGTTGTGTATTTCTCTTTCTGATTTCATGAATTATAGGGATCAATTTAAGGAACCGCTGATACTTAACTTGTAGAAGAGAAGATTCAGGGGAAACACTTTTCTTCCTCCTATGCCTAGGGAGGGGGTAAGTGCTTCAGTATAGGGGGAGGCTCCTTTAGGGTATGGTTAACTATATCAGCTGATAGATCCTTTTCATGGGGGGAGAGGGCAGGCAGGCAGTATTATCTGTCTTAATTCCATCTACATGTTGGGCCTCTACTTATTCAATCATGTTGCCCCCAACTTTCTGTCTTATCCACAGTGATAGCTTTGAAAGACTTTGTGATGTTGGTTCCATTTCTTTGATCTACCAGCAATTTAGTAATGCTGTTAAAAAAGGAAAGGTTAGCTTGAAATGAAACTGTCTTGATGAAACCATGCTGACCTTTACTCAGTCAATGACTCAATCAACCAAAAAACGTTTATTAAGTGTCTGAGGTGAGCCAGTCATTGCATTAGTCTCTGAGGATACAAAAACAAAAGTCCCAGCCACAAGAACTTACATTCTATAAATGGGGATACAACACGTGCAAAAATAGGCATTTGCAGAATATGTACAAAAGAGACACAAAGACTTTTGAAGGGGGAATCAAGAAAGCTTTAATAAAGAAGGTGGTGCTTGAGGAAACTTGGGCTTTAGAGGAAACTAGGGATTCTAAGAGACAGGCATGAGGAAGAAGTGCAATCCAGTCATGGGGGACAGCCATTGTCAAGGCACAGAGATGATAGATGGAGTGTTGGGTATGAGGAACAGTAAGAAATCCAGTTTGACTAGGTCATGAAGTGTATGAATGAGAGTAACATATAATAGGCTAAAAAGGTAGATTGGGACCAGGTTGTGAAGTGCTTTAAATACCAAATTGGGGAGTTTATATTTGATCCTAGAGGTAATAAGGAGCCACTGGAGTTTATTGAGTAGACAGTGACATAGTCAGACCTGTGTTTTAGGAAAAGTCACTTTGGCAGCTATATGGAGGAAAGAATTGAAGTGGGGAAATAATAATCACTTCCCTTCTTAAATGCTAACAAACTATTCTTGTTCATAAAAGGTTCTTAAATTGTGTAGAATCATAGGACTTGGAAATGAAAAGGGCTTGGGGCAGCTAGGTGGCACAGTGGATAGAGCCACCAGCCCTGAAGTCAGGAGGACCTGAGTTCAAATCTGGCCTTAGATACTTACTGATACTTAGATACTTAAGTGATCCTGGGCAAATCACTTAACCCCGATTGCCTTCCCTTCCCCCACCCCTCAAAAACCCCCAAAAGAAATGGAAGGGATCATTGAGATCATCAGTTTCAGCCCCCTTACTTTATAAACAAGGAAACTAAGACCAAAAGAGGTGAAATGACCTTCTTAAAGTCAAACAAATATTTAATGGCAGTGCTTTATAGTTGGAAAGGTCCATTTTGTTTTTCTGATTTTATATAGTGAAGAGTGAAAGCCTGAAATGTGCTATCAGTAACCAAAAGGTTGTATGGAGGGAGGGAAGGTGACAGGACTGGACTGAACAGACTAGCAGGTAGAATAGGTATGTATCCTGTTCCAGAAAAAGAGGGCAAGACTTGGATGGCAGCTTTGGGAGTGAATGAAGGCAGGTTTATCAGACCATGAGTGCTGACTTTCCTATCTTTTGACTCATCATCTGCCTTTCCCTGGTCACTCACCAGGTTTTGGTGAAGCTTCAGAGATGACTTAACATGAATCACTGAAAATGACAGTCCTCCAAGTGGCATCTTCCATAGTGCCCAGAGAGGAGCAGCTTAAGGAGGAATGCAATAAGTTCATTGCTTTGAGGTTGTTGTCCTCTGAAGTGACACACCTAGTATCCAATTCCTTTTGTTCCTCTGTCTGCCTTAACTCTCATCTATCTCTTTCCCTATTGCCTTGTTGACTGGTCCCTCATTTGCCTGTTCCTTTTCTCAATCCCTGGCTTCCTTCTCTTCCCTCTCCATATCTGGTCTTACTATTTAGAAGTGACTTTAGACCAGAAAGAAAAGAAAAACAATAATCTAATAAAAACTGTAGGATGGAAATATCCCTTTCAGGTTCATCTATGCATAAGGTAGTGAGGTCAGGGAGTGGTGTGAGTGAGCGTGGGGAGCGAGTCCTGGCTCAGAGTTGATATGTTTTCCAGGGACCTTAATGACAAGGCAATAGTCTAGTTGGGGTTCTGCTGTTGTCATGTATCAGCAGGGGAGTGGCTCACAGGGCAGGTTGCCACTGAAGTGAGAATGAAGTGGTGCAGCTTTTGTGGGAGAGCCCAGCAGGTTGGTGGCAATCACTTACTTCTAGTTGAGATGTTCTGTCAGGGTGAGGTCCAGAGATCAACTGGGCCAAGTCTCCGATGTCAAAATATTTAAAGTTCCCAGGGGATGAGTAATGGTTCTGAATGACACTTTCCTGAGAGAAAGGAGGATTCCAGAGTCTGAATCCTGAAGCGCCTCTCAACATGGATTCAACAAGTCTTTCACACTTGGGTCCCAAGTACCTCTACGTTAGTCTCTGGGACTTTGAGGCACGGACGGAAGATGAGCTGAGCTTTCAGGCTGGGGACGTTTTTCACATAACAGAGAAGAAGGAAGATTGGTGGAAAGCAACAAAACTTGATGCTGCTGGAAGGAGCCTGGGTGAAGGCTATGTCCCTCACAATTACTTAGCTGAACGAGAGACGATGGAGACAGAACCGTAAGTAAGAGCCAACTGAGGGAAGGAGCCTGGACTCATTCATCTCTTGGAATGTCACATTTGTTGCTTGTGGATCCCATTCTGGGAAGTAGCTTCCAGTAGGGTCCTTAGTTACTCCTTTAGCATTGGCAAATGTGGCTTAGGATCATAAGATCATAGATGTAGTGCTTGAAAGGCTATTTTCTAGATGAGGAAACTGAGTTTCAGGGAGGTAGTAAACATAGGTCACATAGGTAGTAAACATCAGAGGAAAATTTGAACTCAGGCCTTCTCATTCCAGAGCAAGTGCTTGGTTTCCATAACTACCAATCCCAGAGAAGTGGATCAGGTCCCACTAAAAATCCTGGAGTATCTTAAAGGAAAAGCCAGAGAAAACCTAAAAGTAGTTGTAGTAACCTACGGGACCTTCCTTGGCATGTAGGGAGGAGGGTTTTTTGAAGGTGGTGAGTATATGGTGGGGTGGGAGTATTTCCACCCCAAGTAGAAAAAGGTTCAGGCATCACAGGGTTAGCTAGTTTGCTATTCTTCTTGGTTACTTTCTGCCATCCCAAGGAATTACTGTGTATGTTGCTGCACAATACTTGGCACCACTGTCGGTACCTCAAAGAGCTGTGATTTCACTAGCCTGGGCTCTCCCTTCATCAGTATAGATTATGACTCCTCTTTGCCTCAGCAGGCAGCTTAAACAATTGTAATGGCCAAACAAATTCATTAAAGTTATCGCTGTAGTATCATTACTGATTTGTCTGCAGCCCAATCCTCTTTGGCACAAACAGGAATGAAGGTTTAAAAAAAAAAGCCTGACTGTCTTTTTCACAAGAGGCAATATCATATACTAGATGCTGGATCTGGAACTAGGAAGAGCTGGGTTCAAATCCTACCTCTGATATTTACTAACAGTGTGACCATAGACAAATCACTTAACCTCTCTGAACCAAAGACAAGGCTCCATGTTAAAGTCATATATTTCACCGTGCAAAGTAGAGGAAGGTCTGATTCTTTTAGGCCTTAGTTAGTTGCTTATAGTTTTGTATTTTGGGCTGAGAGGAGATGGGGTTATGAGCTTTGGGAATTCCTTGTTCAGAGAAGAATGGGTAAGCCACTAGCCCCACTCTATTGTCATTCAGCCATGGTGGCCCAGGGGAAGGACAAGACAGAATTAGTTGGTACTAATTTCTGAGTGGGTGATTAGGGGCAGCTTTGGGTAGAGAGAAATCCTGAATTGACTTTTCAAAGTGCAGAGAAAGAAGGACACAAACTGGAATCTCAACGTAGTTAGTGGGGGAGGGAAGTAGTGTTGCAACACCTTCCAGCTCTGTAGGGTGGAGGAGCAGGGTGGAGAAGGCTGTGTTGCCAAATACAGACAGCTGTGCAGGTGGGTGTCCTCTCCTGGGTTTTCCCCTCCTACGTGGCTTCTTCAGAACTTCTGAGGAGCCAGTGGCCACTGACAGTAACAAGCTGATGGAAGATGGTGGCCCAGCTACACGACTGCCCTCAAGTATATCCAAATTAATTAGAAAATGAGCAGCTGGGCATTTGTGTTATGTAATTTCACAGCCGGTAATTATGCTTTGGAGATGATTCCTTGGAACAAAATAAGTTTCCTTCTTCCTTTCCCATTCTCCTCTACTGCAGTCTCCACTAGTGAGTATGTATACTCAAAGAACACCGATGACCTGAGTTATGACTTCTTTACAACCCCCTTGGCATCATTTGTTTTCTTTAACATTTGAGCCAGCTGAACATTTATGAAAGAAACTCACTTTCTCAGTTTGAGAACAAAGCTCCTAGAAATTTCGTTGAATGCCTTCCACTCTCAGGGCGTAGGGATGTTCGTATGAAGGCAGAAGTTTCCATGAAACTGGCCTGGAGATAAAAGCTGAACAACTGTGCAGGAAGTACCATCCAGAGATCAAGGAGGTAGCAGAAGCAGTTAAAAGGTTGGTGGAGGGGCAGCTAGGTGGCACAGTGGATAGAGCTCTGGCTTTGGAGTCAGGAAGACCCGAGTTCAAATTGGGCCTCAGACACTTGACACTTACTAGCTGTGTGACCCTGGGCAAGTCACTTAACCCTGATTGTCTCTCCAAAAGGAAAAAAAAAAGGTTGGTGGGATGAATGTGTTAAGACCATAAAACCATGGCAGTATATTTTCCCTAGCTCATGGTCCAAAATCATACTTTGGGGTTATTCCTAAGACTTCAAGACTGGTGATGTGTCTTAAGGGGTTAGTAACTAAGAAAGCAACACTCCCATAGTCAGAGAGTATACATATTAATGCTCTCCCCTCTCCACCTCCAAGTCCCAAACCCCATGTGTCAGGAGCACTTTTATGACATTTTACTTCCCCTTACTGTCCCTATCTCACTGATTCTGTGCTAAAGGTCTTATTTTCCCCCTTACAATCTTTGATAACTTATTCCTATAGCTTTTCAATCACTTCCCTTTAAAGTATAATCTATTCCAGGAGTTATATGGTTCTTGGGTAATTATTTAATGTTACTCAAGTTTTCCTTCCTCCCTAGCTCTGCCCTAATGTAGCCTTGCTGTTTCAGCTTATATGGAGTAGAAGGGAGTGAAGGGGATGGGTAGAAATCACTCTATGTGGTACTATTCCTGGGGCCGACTCAGGCCAAGGGCAGAATTGGGTGACCAGTGGTGAACAATAAAGGCTTAATAAATATTGATTAAATTAAATTGAATTGACGTTACAACTTCTCCAGACAGGGCCACTGCTGCTGCCCCTGCTACCCTGTAAGACTCTAGGGTTGCTTCTGGGCTGTTGTTTTATCGTTGTAAGTCATTCTATGAATGAATACAATGAATGAAGGATAAGAGAGTCTTCACTCAGAGGGAGCACAAATGGCCTTTCTGTGGACCAGGACCTGAGGATTTGGTTTTAGGACACTCTATTTTTATTTCTTTCTTGCAGATGGTTTTTTGGGCAGATCTCTCGTTCAGAAGCTTTGCATAGGCTCCTTGCAGAAGAGAATGGAACTGGCACCTTCCTCATCAGGATCAGTGAGAAGACAGGAGCAGACTATGTTCTCTCAGGTAAAACTGTCTTCATTTTCCAATAGAATAGGCCACTGACTTGCTGACTTCCCTCTGAAAGTCTGCAAAATTTTATTTGGACTTACTATTTGTCTGTTGACCCGGGACACCCTCACTGCCACAATTTACCTCTCCTTCTACATCCTTATGCCCTCCCCCCTTAATGGGACATCTCACCTTGATCATGGAGGATCCTTCTCCCTCTCACTAATGGCAAAATCTAGGACGTTTCCCAAGACCAGCTGGGCTACCTTAACATGGTATTGGGCTTGGGCAATTTGAATCTTGGCTCTGTCACTTCCAAGCCATGTGATTTTATGCAAATTATTCCAATGTTCTGAGCCTCAGTTTCCTCCTCTGTATCTCTTCCAGATCTAACAGTCTATGAGTCTCATATTGCAATGTAAGATTTGGAGTCAGGGACCAAAGTTCAAATCCTGATTTTTCCATTTAATACATCTGTGAACTTGGACAAGTCTTCTTACTTCCTTTAGCCTCAGTTTCCTCATTTATAAAATGAGGGGGTTGGACTAGATGACTGAGGTCATTGAGGTAGAACTGGAGAAGGGCAGCTAAGTGGCTCAGTGGATAGAACTCCAGCCTTGGAGTCAGGAGGACCCAAGTTCAAATCGGGCCTCAGAAACTTACTAGCTGTGTGACCCTGGGCAAGTCACTTAACCCTGATTGCCTCACCAAAAAAAAAAAAAAAAGAGAGAGGGAACTGGAGAAAGTAATGAAACCCTGTTGACTGGGGCTACCATACATCATGTTTGCTAGTTAATTTCAACTGGGCCTCAGGAGCATCAAGGCAATGTTACTACTCCTCCCTAATTGTTTCCCTATCCCCACTCACCACACTAGTGGTGGTTCCAAACCTTTTCTTTTGTCTTTAAGCTCCCTCTCTACATCTTATCTCCTAAGGACTTCTACTCACAGTTCACTGGAAAAAAAAATTGAGGTCATTTGCTGAGAGCTCCTTCTCTCTTCCCTTCTTGATCTCATCTCTCTAATGGCACCGACCATTATCTCTTCCTTTATTCCAGGATGAGATGATGAGGTCGCTGTTCTATTTGCAAAGGATAAATGTACTACATGCTTCCTTGATCTCCTCCCCTCCTATCTTATCCAGTAAATTACCATCACCAACATTCCCACTCTCTAATCTAACATCTATGCCTATCTACTGGCTCCTTTGCTACCTACAAACTTTCCCCAATCTCTCCTATCCTTTAAAAACCCTTACTAGATGATGCCATGTTTACTAGCTACCATCTCTTCTATCTCCTCTAAACTCCTTGAAAAAGCAATCTACAGCAGCTGTTTCCACTTCCTTTCCTCTCACTCCCTTTTAAGCCTTTTGTAATCTGGCATTCAATTTCATCATTCAGATGAAACTCCTCTGACTGTCCAAGTTACCAATTGTAAATCTTGACCCTGGTCCTTCTTAGCCTTCCTGCAGCATTTGATACTGTTGACCATCTTTTCCTCCTGGATACTGTTTCATCTCTGGGCTTTCATGACATTATTCTTTCCTGGTGCCCATCTTACCTGCCTAATTGCTCCTTTTTCAGTCTCTTCTCTTGTATCTTCACCCTTGTCAAGCCTACTAAAGGTAGGTGTCCCCCAAGGTTCTGCCCTGGGTCCTGTTCTCTTTTTTCCTCTATACTGTATCGTGTATTGATCTCATCATCTTCCAAGGGTTCAATGATCATCTCTATGTAGATGATTCTATATGTCCTGTCTTAGGTTCTCTCCTGAGCAATATTCCTATATCAACTATATTAACTATGAAATACCTTATAGACATCTCAAACTCATGTCCAAAACATAATTAATTTTCTTTCCCCTAAACCCTTTCCTCTCTTCTGAACTTCCCTTGTACTGTCAAGGAAGACCACCTTTCTCCCAGGCACCCAGGTTTTTGACCTAGGTGTCATCCTCAACTCCTCACTTTCTCTCACCACTCCCTCCCAACCAAAAATCTATTGGCAAATCTTGTAATTTCTTCCTCTACAATATCTCTCACACATGTCCCCTTCTCTGTGCTCACACAGCCACAACATTAGTTCAGGCCCTTGGACTGTTGCAACAACCTTAAAATTGTTTTCTCTTCTGCAGATATCTCCTCACTCCAATCCATCTTCTGCTCAGTTGGCAAAGTGATTTTCCTAAAATTCGGGTCTGACCATGTCAGCTAGCTGATCAATAAACTCCAGTGGTTCTCTATTACCTTTAGAACTAAGTGTAAAATCATCTGTTTGGCATTTGAAGCTCTTTACTACCTGGCCTTATCTTCCCTTTCCAATCTTCTTACATCCTACCCTTCACTATTCTGCTATCCAGCCATGTTTGCCACCTTGCTATTTCGTGAACATGACACTACATCTTTAGACTCCAAACCTTTGCAGTGGCTGCTTCCCATGAATAAAATGTTCTCCCTCCCAACTTCTTAGAATCCCTAATTCTTTAAGACTCAGATCAAGCGCTACCTCCTCCAGAAGGCTTTTTCTGGTCTTCCCAGCTGCTAATGCCACCCTTGCTAAGATTACTATCTATCTATTCTCTATTTATCTTCTATGTCCTGATTTACATATGTTGTCCCCCTCCATTAGAATGTAAGATTCTTGAATACAGAGACTATTTTTTTTTTGGTGAGGCAATTGGGGTTAAGTCACTTGCCCAGGTCACACAGCTAGTAAGTGTAATGTCTCTGAGGTCAGATTTGAACTCAGGTCCTCCTGACTCCAGGGCCGGTGCTCTATCCACTGTGCCACCTAGCTGCCCCCACAGAGACTATTTTTGCTCTTTCTTTGTGTCTCTAGCACTGAACCAGTACCTGGCACGTAGGAAATATCTACTAAATGTTTGCTTGATTGATGACCTCTGAGGTCTCGATCCTCTGGATCTATGCTCATTTTAAGTTTCTGTGAATTAAAACACAAAATGCTTGAGATCTAGGCTGTTGTTTTAGCCTTGATCAAATATGTTGAGCATTCCCTAAATTCTAGGAAGGGCAGCTAGGTGGTGACAGAGCACTGGACCTGGAGGCAGACAAGGTTATCTTCCTGAGTTCAAATGTGGCCTCAGACACTTACTAACTGTGTGACCCTGGACAAGTCACTTAATCCTGTTTGCCTCAGTTTCATCTGCAAAATGAATCAGAGAAGGAAATGGCAAACTACGCCAGTATCTTTGCCTAGAAAACCCCAAATGGGGTCACAGAGTCAGACATGACTGAAAATGACTGAACAATAACAAAATTCTAGGGAAGCTATGGCATCTCCCATGGTTAACTCATATTCAAAATCAAATTAATACAAAGGATTACAGGAAGTGCAAAAGCTGTGCTTGAAGGAAGCTAAGGAATCTGGGAGGTCAGAGAACAGGCATGAGAAACTATTTGTGGGAAGTCAAAAAGGCAGAAGATAGAATGTCATGCGCAAAGGACCGTTAGCAAGCCAGATTGAAAGGAATAGAGAAGGAATAGAAAGGTGTACTTAATATGAATTAAGACTGGAAAGATAAGTAGAAGTCAGATTGTGCCAAGCTGAGAATTTTGTATTTTATCATAGAGACAATAGGAAGCCAGTGGGAATCATTGATTTTTTTTTTTAGTAGGGGGTGACATAATCAGATCTGTATTTTAGGGATATCAATTTAGCAGCTAGGTGGGAGATGGAATCTTCCCTGAGATATTGGCCCTGCCCTCTTAGAGCTTACAATCACTTTGCCTCGTAGCATTCTGATGAAGAAGATATGAACCAAAATATATTTGCAATCTGAAAATGAGAAGGAGGGGCTAAGTAATTTTCCAATTCATACAGAACCTGCGAGAGAAGCTGCAACCTCTTCCACATTTCTGGACACAGAAAATGAAAAGCCTTTCCCTTTATGGATACGAAATACACTCCCTTTGAAAAATATGCAGCCCCTATGGGCACTGGTTTGAATCTGTGCTTGTCTGCCAGTCCTGGATTTGGGGAGCTCTCTAATATTCAAGAACGACTGTTATGTCATTTTCTTCTACTTTTCTTCTGCTTTTCCCTCTCCCGGATTTCACAGTTCGGGACAACCACATTGTGAGACACTACAAGATTTGGAGGAATGCTGAGGGAAGATACCACATGAATTCAGCTGTGTCCTTCCCTGATCTTGCTGGCCTAGTGCAGTATCACAAAAGTAAGACTCTGTCCCACGGCCTGAGGCTCACCACACCCTGCTGGAAGGTAAATTGAGGTCTGGATCAGGATTCTGTTCCAAGTCTTGACTGGGAGTACCACCTCCCCCTGCCAGGCTATGAATATCCAGAATGGGCTTTTGGCACTTTGAGAACTTTTATGGTAAACCATTTGCCTCCAAGCTTAGCCATCGTGTCACAGTCCCTCAGTCAGTCCAGCTAGATTTGCAAACTTTTCCTGAGGCGTACTTTCCACCACCAACCCTCCCCTGCTCCCACCTGATTCTTAAACTGTTTTGTGTCTTGTGTTGGTGAATTTTTTGTTTGGTTTTGTTATAAGTCTCACCTACTGTAACCATGCAAGATCTTTTCTCAATAAAATTTGTCAAATGCAGAGAGAAATCTAGAATCAGCTGGTCTTTAAGGCTCTTGGAAAGGGGATGTGGGAATTGTATTGGGACGGCCAAGGGGATCTTCATGGCACAAGACTGTCTTGGAGCAAAGGAAGAACTGGGACATGTGCAGTGAGAGGACTCCCAGAATGTTAGTCTTCATCTTTCACTTAGCCTGGGGACCATTGAAAGACCACCTCTCCTCTCTCATTTTAGGACTCTGGTGGGATCCGTAGACTAGGGCCTCATGTGGAAGGAGCATAGGGGTGGGTGGAAGAATCAGCATGTTGATTTATTTAGAATTCGATTCTCAAACTCAGCAGGGATCTCCTTTTGTACCCAAGTGAGGCATCTTCTGAGCTGCTTTTCAATACTGGTGGTGAGTAATGGAGCACGAGGGCTCTCTTTTCCTGAGAGTTGTGCTTAAGGAACCCATTTAGCACAGTGTCTGGCACTTAGTAGGTGCTATAGAAATGTGAGTTATTATTATTATTCCATTACTAGAGATAGACTCTTCAGGAACATCTGGAGAGAAAAGTCTAAGAATAAGTAGTTACCCAAAGCTGGGGGTAGATTAGGGGTCTCTAGTATAACCTTGTTCTTTCATTTTGCTAGGGAGCAACCTTAATTTGGAAGTTTATGTAAGTAAACATCAATTCTATGCAGCAAATAGTTTTTAAGTGCCTGTGAAGTACAAAGCATTTTGAATGGTGCTGGAGACACAATGATAAAAGCAAAGCTGTCTTGCCCTCCTTCTATTAGGGTGGGGTACATAGATTCTACCACATATAGTTGTTGAGTCATTTTTCAGTCTCTTCCAACTCTTTGTGACCCCATTTGAGGTTTTCTTGGCAATGATACTGGAGTGGTTTGCCATTCATTTCCTCTCCAGCTCATTTTACAGATGAGGAAATTGAGGCAAACAGGGTTTGCCCATGGTCACACAGCTAGTAAGTATCTGGGTCCAGATCTGAATTCAGGAAAATGGGTCTTCCTTACTCCTGGCCCAGAGCTCTATCTACTACGCCACCCAGCTTCCCACAACATGTAGACAGATAAGAAAATATGAAGTAGTTTCAAAAGGGGGTTGGGGTGGTAGTGGTGAGGTGGCTCAGGAAGGTCTTGAATAAGAGGTTACACATAACCTGTATTTTGAAGGAAGCTAGGGCTCCTAAGAGGCAAAGGTGAGGATTGCACACATGGGATACAACTTGAGAAAAAGGCACAGAGGCCAGAGAAGGAATGTCACGTGCAGGCCAATAGTTTGAACAGAATGGAGGGAGTACAAAGGGGAGTAATATGAAATTTATTTTTATTTTCCAGCTTTAGCTGGAAAGAAGGTAGGTGGAAGTCAGATAGTAAAGAGACTTAAATGCAAAGCCAAGGATTTAATATTTTATCTTACAGGCAATAGGAAGCCATTGAATATTTATGAGTAAAGGTGTGACTTGGAATAATTCCTTTGGCAACAGAATGGAAATGAGCAGGGAAAGACTGGAAGCAGTGAAACCAATTAGGAAGCAACTGCAATAAATAATCCATTGCAGGGGTGATGAGGATGTGAACTGGAATGGTGGCTTGTGAGTGGAGAGAAGGGAACAGATGAAAGATTCTAGATTAATAGATTTAGAGTTGGATGAGACCCTAGAAGACATTGAGGGAATTCCCTAAGAAGATTTCAATGACTTGCTCAGGGTCATGTGGCTCATCTGAGGTGGGATATGAACAGAAGTCTTTCTGACTTCAAGTCCAGTGCTCTACCCACTATACTACACCTCCAAAGATGGTGTGGAGGTAGAATTGACAAATCAGAAACCAATTGGATGTTTCGTGTGAGGGAGAAGTTAAGGATAACTCTAAGGTTTTCAAACTGGGTAGGTGGAAGGCTGCTGGTTCCTTCATTAGAAATAGGAAGGCTTAGAGGAAAAAGGGGTTCAGGTAGAAATATGAGAAGTTCCCTTTTGGCCACCTTGAATTTGAGTTGCCTATGGAACATCCATAAGGAGATATCTAGCAGACAATTGGTATTTCAGGACTAGAGTTCAGGAAAGAGATTAAGACTCTCTATATTGATTTGGGAATCATCAGCATTAAGAAAATTAAACCCATGGGAACTGATCACTAAGGGATAAACCATAGAGAGAATAAAAATATAAATTATTAGGTGCCTATTATGTGTGGTCCTCTACGGACTTGGCCTGCTCACTTGCTAAGGGAATGATATACTTCTGGGAGGCTATGGTAGTATGTTAAGAACCTATTCCAAAGTCAGACCAGATTGTTATGGTAAATTTAGGCCGCGTGATAACTCCTCAAATCAAAAAATACTGCCCAGATGAGATAACTAATGGTGGCCCTTGATAATTGATATGGAAGCTGTCTCCTTTGTCCCCTTCTGTAAGGGTGAACATATGGGAGGGCTCAGCAAATGTTTATTGAATGGGCTTGTTCCATGGTGTGGTGTCAGAAATGTTGAATTAAAATTTGTGAACCTGTGTTCCAGGCCTGATTCTACTACTTGCTACCTGTGTGTCTTTGAGCAAGTCATCTGTCTTCTCTGGGCTTCAAATTTTTTCATCTATAAAGTAGGGGTGTGAAGTGTCCTAGATGATATCTAAGGGATTTTCCAGCTTTAAATTATAATTCTTGGTTTCAGAGGAGTCCAAGGATGAATCTATTCATCCTGCTCAGCTAGCTTAGAGTAAGTTCTTAATCATGCTCTCCTCCCTTGGGTGTAACCAGCCTCCAACCTGTTCCTATGTTTCTATAGCATGAGTCAAAACCATTGCCTCACTGGGATGACTGGGAAAGACCCAGGGAGGAATTTAGCCTGACCAGGAAGCTGGGCTCAGGATACTTCGGGGAAGTCTTTGAAGGATACTGGAAAGGGAAAGTCAAAGTGGCCATTAAGGTCATTGCCAAGGGTAAGTACCATTCTTCTTGGCTGGGTGGTCACAACTTAACCTTGGTTCCTATTTGTTCTATAATTGCATGTGGATATCACTCCCTAGGTATGGCATTCTTCTGCACACTCATGTTCTCACCATTCCTCTTACTTCTTTCTCCAAGTCAGAGAACTTCCAGGGAACATTTAAGAAAAAGACCTCTACTTGCAACCTCTACTTGACCTTATCTCTTCTAAGAGTTCATCCCTTTGATCATTTTGCTCTCATTTTCAATTTCCCCTTATCTATTGGCTCCTTTCTTGCCTACTAAAACCCAGATCTCCCTTAGAGGCATCCTAGTGGCCCAGAGGATAGGGTCCTGAGACTACAGTCAGGATGACCTGAGCTCACATCTGATCTCAGACACTTACTAGCTGTCTGATGATGAGCCAGTCAAGCCACTTAACCTCTGTCTGCCCCAATTTCAAGTGCAAAATGGGGATAATAAAAGCACTTACCTCCCAAGGTTGTTGTGAAGATCAAATGAAATAATATTTATAAAAATCATTTATCACAGTGCTAGGCACATTGTAGTTGCTGAATAAATGTTTGCCTTCTTCCTTCAAAACTCTTAATTTGACTTTATCATCCTCTCAAACTATCGTCCCATATCTTACCACCTTTTGATAACCAAGCTCCTAGGAAAAGTCCTCTCTATTGCCTCCACTTCCTTTCTTCCTACTCCACAATCTGTTGTAATCTGGCTTCTGACCCAACCAGTTGACTAAAATTTCTTCCTCAAGGTTACCAGCAATCTCTTAATTATATATGTATTCCTGAGCCTCTTCTGCACCTGAATTTTCTGCCTTATCCATATCTAATCGGAGGTAGAAGGGCTCTACTTCCCTCAGTCCCCTCTGTGCTTGTTGGGGTCTAAAGGGGTCTCACTTCTCACCCCCACCCCATATATTCTCAGTCAGGGACAGGAGGCCAATCTCTCTTCTTTTAGCCTAGTCCACATCTATTTAAATCTTTTTTAGAGAAGGAGGACCCTTCTTCTCCCATGCCACCTCGCTCAGCCTCATATCTTTTGTTTGTAATACCAGCACCCTCCTTAAGTGATCTTGTACGTACTTATGAACGAATGAGTGAATGAATGAAAAACCATTAAATGCCTATGATGTTCCAGATACTGTACTAGATGCTGGGGACACAATACAAAAGTTAGACAATTTTTCTATTCAAGGCATTTATATTCTAATGGTGGTAGACAACATACATATGAGCATGGTGGCCAGTGAAGGAATTTTGGCCTTGGGAACCATGGGAATGGTGAGTCGAGCCCAAGGGCAATAGATTGTCAGGACCTTTCTGGAAACTATGGTAGTATTGATCTGATTGCTGTTCCCAGTCTAAGAGGTGGAAAGTTGGCTCAGGTTATACACATGGACAGTGGAAGATACAGGATGTGAAACACATCAGACCATAGGATGGGTTGGTTGAAATGACACTCATTCATCAATCAGCATGGCTGAGCCACAGTGGAGGTCCAAAATGGATTCAGACGGGGGAGTTATTTATCTGTTTATATCTTGTTTCCCGATGTAAGAACCTTCAGGGCAGAAACTGCTTCCCGGTTTTTGTTTTGTTTTTTAAATCCCCAGCATCTACCATAGTGCCTGGTATATAGGAGGTGCCTAATAAGTGTTTGGTTGACTGATGAAGGTGTTGGAGTAAATCTCTGTTTCCTTTTAGCTCTAAATCTTATGACTTACTTCTTTCATGGGACCTAGTGCAATATCCCCATTGATTCAGGATTGCTTCTAAGAGGTTGGCCCAGAAGGAATCTTCTCCCTTTTCCCTGTATAAAGCATTTATTCATGAGGTTCAAATAAATTCACTTCATGGCTGGATTTCTATTCCTGCAGATAACCTGATGCACCACAACACCTTCTACTCAGAGATTGAGGCCATGAAGAAGCTGCGCCACAAACACATTCTCTCTTTGTATGCTATCTCTTCCTTTGGGGACCCTGTCTACATCATCACTGAACTGATGCCCAAAGGAAACCTTCTGGAACTCCTTCGAGGTAAGAACAGGAGGAGGTATTCAATGGACCAGGGTTTGGCCTATCAAACTCTAGAGATGGGAGAACAGGGCCTGATACAATACACAGGGTGGCCCATGAGAATGACCTTTCCACTTAACTCAGGAGTAATGTCCTCTTGTCTCTGGCTGTCTCTCCAGCTGCTGTTTCCCTCACAGTATGTGCTCAGAGAACTCTAACCTGAGCTAAAAAGGTAGGGAGTGTGGTGAATGGAAAAGATTTATTTCTCAGTTAGGCAATGGGGTTAAGTGACTTGTCCAGGGTCACTCAGCTAGTAAGTGTTATGTGTCTGAGGCCAGATTTGAACTCAGGTCCTCCTGAATCCAGGGCTGGTGCTCTATCCACTGCAACACCTAGCTGCCCCATGGAAAAGATTTCTGACTGTGAACTTAGACGTGGGTTTAAGTCCTGACTCTGCCACTGGGCCTGAGCAAGTCAATCCCCCATTCTGGGACTCAGCTTCTTCATCTATCAAATGGGATGGTAGAAAATGACTGGATAATTTTAAGATACCTTCTAACTCTGACATTCTAACTACATGTGTGACCTTGGACAAGTTCCTTTACTCCCCTGGGTTTCAATTTTATCTGTAAAATGAGGAGGTTGGACCAAATAAAAACTAAATTCCAAATCTTATGATCCTAAGATCCCATGTTTTTGTGATCCATGAAGAGAAAGGTAGCAAAGTAAGTGTTCTCCTCATAGAAATTCTATAATGCATGACAAAGCCTAAGAGAGTGTAAGTTTTGAATTAGCCAGAATTTAAAAATTATCCATCTTTTAAGTTCTCTCTACTGGTATAGATGATAAATAGTTCACTCCAACCTTCTTCCCCTCTACTGTATTTTGTCCCTTCCCTATCATCACCTTTTTCTTTTTTTTGATTGACCTGGTTGGCAATGGAGTCCTTCTTGTTCATCTCTCACAGACCCTGAAGGGGCAAAATTGCCCACCACAGAGCTTGTGGACATAGCATCTCAAATATCAGAGGGCATGTGCTACCTTGAGTCACAGAATTATATTCACCGAGACCTGGCTGCCAGGAACATCCTTGTGGGGGAAAATAACATCTGCAAAGTGGGAGACTTTGGGCTGGCCCGACTTATCAAGGTAAAATCTTCAGATGCCAAAGCCTTCATTTCAAACTTCAGTTCACAATATATACATGAAAACCTTACTCCAGAGGACTCCTTCCTCTATTGCTAATTTGGTTATACTCAGGGTCAAATTGTGTTCTTCATATATACAATGTTGTTCATTATAATATGCATGTTAATTCTCTACCCAGACACCAGTACTATAAGGAATCAGGCTGACTCAGGAGAGAAAGGGTTGAGATTCAGTTCCTTTATTTTATGATTGGGAAAATGACTATAGCTCTTCCAGGCAATGTAGTACAGTGGAAAGTATGCTGTATTTCAAGTCAAAGAACCTTGGCTCAAAACTCAGCCCAGCCACTTTGCTACCTGTGTGACCTTGAGCAAATCACTTGAGTCCCTCATTTTTAAAATGAGGGTGTTAGACCAGCTGACTGCTAAGATCCTTTCCAGGTCTAAATCAGTGATCTCGTGATTCCCAACTGATGGGTAGCTGTCCATAGTGCTGGCCAACTGGGTCAGGGAGCCTGGCCATAGTCATTGGAGAACAACTCAGTAATCTTTTTGTCTTCCTCTCTTCCTTCTTCACTGTAGATACTCTGTGCTTCAACCAAACTGAACTACCTCATTGTCTCCCAAATATTACATAGACTTTCTTACCTCCAGGATCTGGCTCACATTGTTTACTCCAAATGGAATGTCCTCCTTCCTATTCAGAATTCCTGTTGTTCAGTCATTCCAGTCATGTCCAACTCTTTGTGAGGCCATTTGGGGCTTTCTTGGCAAACATACTACAGTGGTTAGCCATTTTCTTCTCCCGCTCATTTTACAGATGAGGAAACTGAGGTAAACAGTGACTTGTGCAGGATTGCATAGCTAGTAAGCGTGTGAGGCCAGATTTGAACTCAGAAGGATGAGTTTTCCTGACTCTAGGCCTGGTACTCTCTCCACTCTGCCACCTAGATGCCCATTCAAAATTCTACCCAACCTTGAAAGACTGGTTCACATTTTTCCCCTTCTGTAAAGTTTTTCTTAACTTCTTCAGCACAGAGTGATTTCTCTCTCCACCAACTTCTTACAGTATTTATTATCTGTTCCAGGCCTCTGACACATATAACTAACTGCCTAGTTATCTCCTCTGTGACCTCCACATTTTGTCTGCTCAGCTAGATAGTAAATTCCTCAAGGGCAAGAATCAGGCTTCTTTCAAACTGTCACACTTGGTGCAATGCACCTCAGTGAACTGATTCAATTCCATAAGCTTTTATGAAGCACCTACTCTGTATTGTTCACTGTTCCAGAGAAGATCATTCCTGTACTCATGGGATTTCAGGTTAGTAGAGGAGCATGACACATAGAGAAATAGTTCTAATACAAAACAACACAAGCTAAGTGCATTAGAGAAATAGGAATAAAGTATTCTGTGAAGTCAGAGAGGAACGGCCATTCCTAACTATTATGGAAGGCTTCATTAAGTGGGTGCCATTTGATTTGGTCTTTAAAAGATGGGCAGGAATTTACCTAGGAAAAAAATAAATTCCTACCTACTCATGAACATGAACTTGGACAGACTTCAAGAGGTAGTAGAGGATAGAAGAGCCTGGTATGATATGGTCCATGTGGTTACAAAGAATTGGACATAACTCAGCGACTGAACAACAATAAAGGAATTTACCGGCTTACTGCTAGGGTCAGGAGGTTGACAGGGAAAATGTTTAGGCATAAGAAACAAGGAGTTGGAGAGGAGGAAACGTGTCACGAACAGAAGGTGGTAAGGAGTCCAGTTTACCTGGAACATAGCATTCCTGAAAAGGAGTAACATGAGATAAGGCTGGAAAAGTGGTGTGACACCACCATCTGTGGTGATTATGGAGGACCTTGGATGCCAGGCAAAAGTTTTGAATTTTACCCTTGGTAGGCAATAAAGAGCCATAGAAGATATTTGAGGAGAGAAGTGACATGACCAGATCTGTATGTAGGAAGACTAGCTGACCCCATATAAGTATCAGCATAAGACCCTTCAATGTCTGGAAAGCCCTGGGAATCTTCTTCCCACCAAGGTATGCTGGAAACAGCATTGACTTACATTGATACTATTTTTATGTTTGTGAAGAATTTCACAAAATTTGTGTCATTTGATTGCCACATGAACCCTACCAAGTAGGTAAATTGAGCATTATTATCACCTTAATTTTACAGTTGAGGAAATTGTGATATGGAAAGGCTGAGGAATTGGGAGGATGGGATGGCCTCTAGTCTCTTCCTGCCAAATGGGGAATTTTCTTGACTTTATTCAAGTGTTCATTAAACACTTATTAATTACCTACTATATGCAAGGCACTGAGGACATAAAGATAGCTAGGACAAAGGCCTTGCTCTTAGGCAGTGGATAACCTAACAATTTGTAAGTTTCTATATATCCTGCTCTCCCTTTCTACTTTCCAAACCTAGGTAGTCTCTTCTGCTTTTAAGGAATACTGAGAGATTTGATTTTTCCTAAGTATCAGAAAAAATAATCCTTTATAAACAGTGGCATAAGAGGTCAGCCCTCCGGTCTCTGTAGTTTAGAATAGCAGTTCTAAACAATTGGAAAATGCGGGACATGTGGGCCCAACAGTATGTTTGCCAAATAACATTCTTTAGGGGAAATTCCATTTCAACAGCTGTGAACAGTTGAACTGTCTTTATAGTATTAAAATTCACGTAGGATTTCTGAGAGTTTGACACCTGCCCTGAGACCAGGCACATCCTGGGCTGGCTAGGTGGTCTAGTGGATAGCATACCTAGTCTGGAGCCAGGAAGATCTGAATTCAAATTTGACCTTAGACATTTACTACCTGTTTGACTCTGTGCAAGTGATCTAACCACTGTTGGTCTCAATTTGTAAAATAGAAGTAATAACAGCACCTATCTCTCAGGGTTATTGTGAGGATCAAATGAGATAATTTTTGTAAAGTGGTTAGGACAGTGCCTGGCACATATTGGTTGCTGTATAAATGTTAGCTGTTGTCCTTTCCTCCCTGTCTAACAAAACTTCTGTGTTTACAGGATGATATTTACCTTTCCTATGCACACAACATCCCCTACAAATGGACAGCACCAGAAGCCCTCTCCTATGGATGTTATTCAACCAAATCTGATGTCTGGTCCTTTGGAATTCTTCTCCATGAAATTTTCAGTGGTGGACAGATACCTTATCCAGGTATAATGTTCTTTGAACTATAAACAGAAGGGCAAAGGAAAGCAGATGGATAGTGGTAGAGAAGATAGTCCTACATTGCAGATGTCAGAGTCCCATGAGTGCTTACTGCAGGGGTCCCATAACCTCTTTGACATAGACATGCCCAAGAGAATAGGGGAGAGCTCGGAAAATATTGTCAAGGACACAGTTTTTGTGATGCAGAGCCATTACTTCCTAGTCCTTGGTGTACTTTCTCCCAAATACTTTTAGGTAGCTTAAAGCACAGCCTAATACACAGCTGGTTTCCTTGCTCTCCCTTCTATCAACAAACTCATTCTAAAGCCACGGAATAAAGATTAGTTTAGGAACATTAGCTCAGGGACCTGGGCTCTGCCAGCCTTAATATGCTGACTTTAGGCACTTTCAGAACGGAAACTAGTGGCTTTGTTGTGGCTACTGGCAACAAATGCTGCCTTCCTGCCCTGTAGATCAATTTCCCACAGATCAACAGCAGGCAAAAGTGAGTTCTGGGCCCTGATACCCCTAAGGCTGTAAGCCAAAGGCAGAGGGAAGATTTTTTTGCCCTATGATCCAAAGGTCTGGTAGACTCAGCGCTCACCTCAGATGCACTGGAGTCTAATGTATAGCATGTTATTTTCCTGGTCTTTCTTAGCTATGAAGATATAAAACCTCTTGTTTTTCGTTTTGCCTCAAAGCCTAAGGGTGATTAAAACACTATTATCCTCCCTAGTGAGAATGTCAAACAATCTTAAACTCTCCTAGAGAGGTTAGAGATGATGTGGAGTAGTTGAGGGTTTGACATAGTATTGGGGAAAACCTGGGTCCAAATCCCACCTCTGACTCATGGGGAATTCATTTGACCTCCCTTAGACTTAATCTCATGTATAAAATGGAGATAATAACATCTGATTTTTGTAGTGTTATAAGAAGACAGGTAATTATTATTCATTATGCCCAGAAATTCTTTAGTCTCCATCTGTGGCCCTTATCTTTTCGTTTTCCTTTTCTTCCTTAGGGATGTCCAATAATGAGGCTCACATGAAAGTCCTGGGTGGCTTTCGGATGCTCCGCCCCACAAAGTGCCCAGCCTCCATCTATGACCTCATGTATAAATGCTGGAATCTGACTCCAGAAGAAAGACCCTCCTTTAAAAGCCTTAAAGAAAAACTCATTAGCTTCACCAATTATGAAAACCCACTCTGAGCTGGGGGCTGGCCTGAAAGACATGCTTCAGGATGCTTCCTTACTTACCACCAAACTCCTCTACCTGGAACCCCGTGAGTAAGCTCAACGGTCTCCCTTCCCCCAGAATCATGAACCGTGAGCATGTAGCAGTTCCTCGGGGACTGTGTCTGAGTGTTGCTGGACCTTGAGACAGAAGACCTGGATTTGAGTCTGGGCTCCAACATTCACTACTTGCACAGACAAGAATTACTCCATTTCTCTGGGCCTCAGTTTCTTCTCTGTAAAATGGGAATAATAATACTCAAGCTACCTCTCTCACAGGGCTGATGTGAGGAAATCATTTTTTAAACCTTAAAGCTCTACCAAAATGTCAGCTGCTGCAGTTGCTGCTGCTCCTTGCTCGGGCCAGAGCCCTTTGTGTGTACAAAACAGAAAAGGCTTCTTGAAGTATAAAAATGCACAAATAAAGAACACAGCTGACCTTCAAAAATGCCCAGAAGGCAAAGTGGTTGATTTGTTTCTATTTCATTTACTAAAACTTTGCTGTTGTAAAATAAGCAAATTTCATCTACAGTGAAACATTAAGAGCTCCTAGACTCTTCCTCAAATAGGCTCTAAACCTATACTTATGAGAAACTCAGAAAATAGAAGTTCAAGTTTTCTGAGGCTTCCAGTGCCCTTGGTCAAGACTCATAGAGAGGCCATGTGGTGCAGCGAAAAATGCATTGGATTGTGGCCAGACGACCTGTCATCTTGAGCAAGTCACCTAACCTTTCCAGACCTTAATTTCCTCACATGTAAAAGGAAAGGGGTTGGATATGGTGCCTCTCAGGTCCCTCCATGTCCTAATCTGAGCTGTAATTGTGCCATACCATTGCTCATTTTGTTTGGAAGGGAGTAACTGGCCCTAGTGAGGGAATCTTAGGATAAAATAATAAAGCTGTGCAGTGGGGAAAGAAGGGGTCTTTTAATTCTTTACCATAAGGACTTATCTTCTAAACTGCAATTCAAGCTGTCGAATTCAGGCTTTGGCAGGGTTAGAGCCTGAGTCTAAAGCTGATATTTAATGGAAATCCCAGCAACTCTCCTGTTATCAGCTCTGACTCTCACTTTGACCATACGGTCTGTAAACGCTTTCATTCGTGTGTGTGTGTGTGTGTGTGTGTGTGTGTGTGTGTGTGGTGAAACCATTGGAGGAATGAGGAAAAGTGACCTAGATTTGAACTCTGAGTTCAAATCCTGTCTCTATCAGTTATAACTTTGTTCAGATCACATAAATCTTTGGGGCCTCAGTTTACACATCTGTAAAACAATGGGGTTGGACTAGCTGATGTCTAGATTACCTTACAGTTTTAAATGTGTTACCTAATGATCCTTTGATGCCTGTTAAAGAACAAAGTAAGCTTTCTGGGATCAATGCCCTGATGGTTTTTCGGGATTAAGGGGTAGAGTGAGTAGGCCCTGAACCTAAAGACATTTATAGACATTACTAGACCTGAAGTGTTTGCATCTATGTTGGCCCTTGGTATCTTGATCCCTAATTCTGGGTCCAAGCACCACACATCCATTATGGCCTTTCTCTTTTATTTCACTAGTGCAAGTGAGAGAATTGGTTCAAATGGCCCATTGACCATGAAAATATAAGCTTCCTGGCTTTCCCCCATATTGAGTCCCACCATTGACCCAACTGGGAGTGAGCTGGGGTTTGAGTCAGCTCTCTGATGGTAACAGCTGCCTGTGCTGAGGCTAGCCATTTGTGGGGAACCCTTCTCTTCCTCCCAAATCCCTGTGCAGGTTATAAGCAGGAGCACAACCTAGTCATTCTCCTACCTGTACCCTCTTTGCCAGAGAACTAAGTTAGTAGGCGGGTCCTGGGGGCGGCTTGCTCCATAAACAGAGGCCACTGGTCCTTCTTCACTCTTATGCAAGGGTAAAGAAAGACTGTAAAATAAAGTAGGTCAGTCACACCTTATGGAATATTGGACACAGTGAAGTGCAATTGGCTGGGCAGGGACAGTGGTCCCTATGCAGGTCCCAGTGATCAGTGCTGACAGATACCACCTGGTGCCAATCTAACAACAGCTATTTATAACACAGAAGCTGAACTTAGGTTAAAAAGGAGCCATTGACTGAGGGCAGACCTGCACCCTGGTGGTGAGGTTGATGCAATGCCAGTCCCCAAGACAGGACAGCTAGCTTTCCTGATCATTGTAGCTGTGAGTAACACCCACCCCCTCTCTCCTTTCACTGCAGGGTGGTTACAGAATCATAGTTTTAAAGCAGGAATGATCCTAGAGATCACTTAGTCCAACTGCTTCATTTTTAATAGGAAACTTAAGCCCAAAGAAGGTGAGTGACTTACTCAGGATCACAGCTAAGCAGTGTTAGAGCCAGAAAGAGAGTCCCAAGTCTTAGGGTTTAGAATGGCATGAACTTTCAAGGCAACTTGGCAAGATCTGGGTAAAAACCCCAAGTACCAGGGGAAGTAGATTAGAATGAAAGGAGAGAGTCCAGAAAGAAAATGCCCTCTTGGGAAGAGTTCTTCCCCAATCTCGAAGTCCACCTGCCTACCGTTTGAGAAGAACAGCAGGTGCTTTCAAGGCTAATTTATATCCCAGTATCTCTTCCTGTGCTAACACAGGTTCTGACAACAAACACTGCAAATCAAATCATACCTTCAATGTATTAGGTAACTTTATCTAAACAATCACTTTGTAATTTAAAGAAACCAGCAACCTTTCCTTGTTCATCCACATTTTATATAATTCCAGACTTTCAGGTGTTTACCTAAAGTCAATGCCTAACTATATAACTGCATCTGCTGAATCAGGGCTAGTTACTGTTAGCACTGCACAGGAAAGGGAAATGGGAGAAAAGAGAGAAAGGTTGGCAGAGCTGCTATGAGGCTTTGACCTTCCTGGCTTATGTTGCAGCTGGTGACACATTGGTTAGAGCACTGGACCTGAAGTCAGGTAGATCCCAGTTCAAATCTATCTAAAACACTTACTAGCCATCTGGACCCTGGACAAGTCACTTAACCTGTTTCCCTGATACCTGCCAGGGTTGTTGTGAGGGTTAAATGAAGTAAATGCTAAGCATATGGCAGGTGCTATATAAACGCTCCTTGCTTCCCTTCCCCCTCATACAATTCAACCTCCTAGTGATTGATGGAGCTTAATTTGTATATGCTCTCTCAATACAACACACAAAGAAGCATTCTGCCAATTCATTTAGGAATTCGCCCTTTTGTCCTCTTACAGCTAGGAGTGAGGCAGGGTAAGGAGGCTCAAAGGTGGGACTTTGGGAATTAGTCTCTGGGAAATGAAAGGAAGTCACAGGTAATTCCTGGCTGGCCTTGGTTCCCAGAGGGTCTCTGAGGAAGAACTAGTCTTCTATAGGAGAAGGGATACGGTACACAGCAGTTACCCTGGCATGTGCTCTCTTCTCCATCCCCAACTCAACTACTCAGGCCCTGTTTGGGGGACCTGACCTCTTTTCTAGTCTTTTTTGGGGGATACATAGCAGATAGCCTGGGCCCCTGGATTCTTTGCCCTAGGATGGTGTGATCCTGAGCGAAGTCTGGGGTTAAGAATACAGCAGATATAAGGAAAGTCTTAAGGGTAAAGGAGAATGGGCAGCAAACTGCTTCATCAAGCATTCCTCAGTATGCACAGACCCAGACCCAGACAAGCATTATCCTTCTTTCCTGATCATCCCACTTCTTCCTTGCTAACCGCTTCCTGCTTAACCACCTGCAGCAGTTCTTTCTGACTAAAGGAAGTGTCCTTTGAAAGAAACTGGACTTTTAATCTGGCTTAATCATCAGGTTGCAAATGAGTGATTACAGGTGCTACCAAGAGAAGGAACGGCCCAAGCCAAAAGAGGAAAGCGCTCCATTAAGGCACGCATCATTAAAAGGCTGCTCAAAGTTTATTAGTTTCCTTTGAGTACAAAGTAAACGGGTTACTGAGGCTGCTGGAAAGCACATACGTGATTCAGATAGTAAAAAAAAAAAACAATAACAGTGTGGTTTCTTTTACTGTTTTTTGGTGTTTTGCTTTTGTTTTCCTTAAAAAAAAACCACACACACACACACACAACACAACTACTTCTACACTTAAGCAGCCTGTCTATTCTAAGGGAATAGGCAGGGGACAGAAGGGGGGGAAAGAGGAGGGGAAGGGAGGGGAGGGGGAAATGGGCTCTGATGCCTAGCACACTTCAGAAGCGGGGGGAGCAGCAAGGAGGGTGCTGCTGCTCATGCAGAAGGCCCAGTGCTGGTCTTGCTGGGCTCGCTGACACGCCGCTTCCTCATGGCCTCCTGAGCCAGGTCACAGGTGATCGTGCCATGAGCAACCTGGAAAGTTCCTGAGCTGCAAGTCAAATATCAGAGGGAGAGTCAAGCATTAATAAATTCCAATGCTACAGAAAGCACCAGCACCCCAGGAGGTGCTGGGTTAGGAAGCCCTTCACCACTCCTCCCTGCCCACCCCCAATTTCCAGCCTGTCCTGGTTCATTTTTCCATTTTTCCTGTATTTCACACTGTAATAATAAATTCTCATTCATTGCAGAGTTATGACCAAGTAAACTAACGGTAGGCTAAAAGCCAGGATTTTTTTGGGTAGGTGGGAGAGAGTAGACTTAGATTGTCAAAAATCACATTATTTTTCTTAAGTCACACTCAACTTTTTCAGCCCTCACCCTCCAGTTCCAAGCCCACTACATAGCTGTCTCCAATCAGAGGTTCACTTACTGCTCTGGGGATTCCAATACAGTTGTCATGAATGGATGACTCGACTTCCCGAAGAAGAAGCTTGCCCACCAGTGGCCTGGGTCTGATTTGGGAAGACCTAGAACAGCCAAGAGAGAGAGTCATTCATCTTGGGATTAATTCAGAGTAGTTACCAACCTGCTAATTCTGTAGAATCAACTCTCCTTTTCATTCCTGTCAAATGCTTCTCCCAAAGCAAAGGAACAGGTCAAATCCCAGCCCTTCTGCCTATCCCTGGCTGCTGGAGAATTTAGGAGCTCCTGTTCACCCTCCTCTCATTTGACTATTCTTTGCTTCTTGGTAGTCTAGTACTGTACTTTGTTAAGCATATATAGAGGATGGGCATGCTCCTAAAGGTTAATAAGGGTGCTATACTCACCAGGATGATGGGGGATCACTTCCCCAGAATACTCAGCACTTCCACAGGAGCTGTTGCTGGAAGTGGAACCCAGACGCCCTGGGAAGGAAACACTGTGTCACTAGTGCCTCCTTCCCTAGAATAGAGATAGTCTTCAGCCCTCTCTGGGTTATTGGGATGGCTACTCAAAGTCTCCCCCAAACCTTGGAATTTTGCCACTTCCATGGGGGCCAGAGGAGCCCTCTTCCAATAGATCAACAATTTACTATGTCTCGTTTTTCACCTAATCAAATCAGAGCTCCAACTATACAGTTAATTATTCTCACATCACAAATTGGTGCCAATTGTAAAGATCAGCAAGGCTGTACACCACTGGCTAAGTGTATGCCTTTGGGACCACTGGTCAGAGTTAAGGGGTACACTGGAGGAGTTAAAGAGGGTTTATACAAAGTGCTTTCTTCTAAAAACTTTGTGAGGTAGGCAGTATAAGCAGGATTTACACCCATTTTACAGATGAGAAAACGGAGGCTCAGATTGCTGAAGTGACTTGCCCAAGGTCACACAGCTACTAAATGGTGGTGGAGCCAGGACTTGAACCTGGGTGGGTGTTCTGCCTCTGAGTCCGGTGGTTTCTCCACTTATACCCTGCTGCATGCCCTGACATCTTTTCACCAGGCTGAGTTCAATTTATAGCTAGGGGCTGTATATGTTCTTTTCATAATGGATTTTCGAGTGTCAGTAGAAATCCCCAGTCCTCCTTCAGTACATCAGGTAGCTGAGTGCCCACAGGCCCACTGGACCCTATGGTTCTAGCCAGGCTAGGGCTTGAGGTGGCAGGGAGGCCTTACTTCGGTAGTAGTCATGGGTTGCTACGAGTGAACCGCTGGACGGGATTGCTGCCATGTTGCTTGTTCTTATTGGGATGATGTAAACCTGCAGGGGAGACAGTTATAATTTTCAGATGCACTTTGGCTCTCCCCATAAGTGAAGCAATTGTTCCTCCTCTAGTGACCTGGCTCTATGGAGCCTGCAGCTCCAAAGAGGTGAGATACTATTTGGACCCCAATACTTTCCTCCAGAAAGTATTCCTCAAGGTAACTGCAGAATTTCTACCTACTTTCAGAAGTTTCTAAGACAATGAGTGTGACTTCATGGGCTAAATCTTGGGCACTCCCTCACCCTTATAGGTCTTTTAAGTATATCCTAATGCCATGAGACAATGATTTTTGTAGAAATTATAGATAACCAATCCCACTTCTACCTTGCTTGTTAATTGTAGAGTGTTAAAAAATAACTAAGAGATGTTTGTGTTACTAAATCCTCTTGGAAATGAGAAAACTGGGGTGGCTTTTAGGAAACTTTCCTAGAGTACTGGCAAAGGAGGTATTTTCAGAGAAATGGTTACTTGTACTGAAAGTTGAATTCTCAGTATTTCTCCAGACAATCGTGGAAGCACCACCATCCCAGTAACCCAGGCTTTCAGCCCAGTTATCTTTGACTCTTTTCTCCACCCCTAAACTGCCTAGCTCTAACAAGGCATCTTACCTGGTATTTCTCCTATCTGTCCTCTTCTTTCTATCAACTTGACACCACTCTAGTTCAGGTCCTTCTGCCTAGACCTGTATCCACTACAAGGTGATTCCAAAATAACTGAATGCCTTCTCAAATTTAATTAAATTACACGAACATATCACATGCACCAGATTGCAGAATTACCCTTACATTTTTCAATTTTCTTCCAGATACTTTACGAAATTTTTACCAGACACCTTTACAAAATTGTTTTCAAATGTTCAGGAAACTTTGACTGATGCTTTACCCCCTAGGCTAAAACTGTTCTCTCCCCCAAGAAATATCCTAAAACACCCTGCAGCTCCTTTGTAACATCCTCCCAAGAGAGAGTTCTTCCCGGAACTTCCACTTTACGGCCCAGACCAGGGGTGGGGAACCTGCAGCCTCGAGGCGAAATGTGGCCCTCTAGGAACTCAGGTGAGGGAGGCCCTTTGAATTCAAACTTCACAGAACAAATCCCCTTAATAAAAAGATACGTTCTGTAAAACTTGGACTCAGTCAAAAGGCTGAATCCAAGGACCTAGAAGGCCACTTGTGGCCTTGCAGCCGAAGTTCCCCACACGTGGCCCAGAACCTCCTTCATTCTCCCACTAATCACCAGGTTGGGGGGAGAGCACCTTCTCAGTTCCTTTCTATTCGTTGTCCTCCACCACCAGAATAAGCCCGTTGTGAGAAGGGTCTACTACCTTTCTTTTTTGTTTGTATTTTTATCTCCAGAGTACAGTGTCTGTCTGGCATGTACTGAGTGCTTAATAAACGCTAGTTGATTAGACGTGCATAGTTTAGAACAGAATCTTGCATAATGGCTGCCTAAGAAATGCTAGTTAAACGGAATCCTAGTATCGACCCCGAGGACAGTAAGAGTCCAACTCGGTTACGAGAGAGCATTGCTTTTAAGTTTTTTCAGCACGAACTTAGTGGCAAAGCTTAGCATTCACGGTATTAAGCTGCCCTCTTCTCTCACATCCGCACATTCTCCCCATACACCCTTACCCTAGCAGCAACATTAAGAGAGGTTTCGTGTTACTAACTGCCTGTTGTTCTCTGGCAACAAAGAGGGCCTGCACAAGAAAACAGAAGTGCATTGTTTGGACTCTTTGCTGCGGTCAGCGATTTCGGCACTGAAAGGAGGCAAGCCCGCCTCTCCCTAATTCCTCCAGACAACTGTCTATTATTTGCACCGCCCCGTTTGGGGCTCCTCCCCCGCAGCCTTACATAACCTTAGCAGCGGGCGGGGGGAAGGGGGTACCCCACCCAGGACTCCATCAAACCGGTTCAAACTGGCTCAGAGAAACCCGCAGGTCCAGTGCCAAGCTTTCCCAGTTCCGAGATTCCAACCCTAACTACGGACAGCAAAGGAGAGATGGCGGAGCTGGAGAGGGGGCGGGGATGCAGTGTCTCTCTTCTCCAGACCCTTCCCAGAGCAACCAAGGGCCGGTAGGAACCGGATCAGCCTCAACACGGGACAGCAAGGGGAAGGCGCTGTTGTTCTCCAGATCAGCAGGAACCCGCCTCCCCACCCCTGCTTAGCCCCGCCCAGCAGACTCCAAAAGAAGCCAGGCTAAACGAGAAGGGTATTAATTTATACTAAGCTAGTTCGAATTTAAAAGACACAGGCTATTCCATCCTTTGGTCCAGTCGGCGTCTTAATCGTATACACACATCAAGGAAAGCGTCTAGGATTAGGCTTGGATGCTTTTAGGTATACCGACCCCCTCTAACTTTGCAGGCGTCCTGGTTTGTCTGGCCACATGCCCTAGGGATTTTTTTTGGGGGGTGTAGAGGGTGGGATACAGTATTAAGAAAATGACCTGGATAAGAGTCAATGTTGAGTCTGTTTCCGGACCTCTGGCCTTTCTCTTGCCTCTTCCGCCAAACCCATTACTGTCTAAACCGGTTGTGGTTGTTTCAGACAGAACTAAGACCTCCACGTGTTAACAGGGAAGGCCTGTCTTCCAGAGATCAAGGCCAACTTTGACCAAAAAAAGATTTGATCCAACCAATCGAGGCCGGCACATGTGTGAGGTCCTTTCTAATGGCCATATTTGGGAAGCAGATCTGATCGGACAGAATTCCTGAGGTTGTCACAAGGGCCAACAGGGCTGGTCCTGTTTGATAGAACCTAGATGCATTCAAGCCTCCCCGCTTTCTCAAAGAGTACCTAGAAATGGCGAACTGGGTGGTTGGGGGGTGTACAAAGAAAGGGCTAGGCTTGCCTCAACACGTGCTGTGGGTGAGGAAGAGTGGGGCATTCACCTGAGTACTCTACACAGTGATCCTAGGTGGGACGAAATGACGGTTCCCTCTCCACCCTAGACAGTAGGGCCGAGGCCTGAAAGAAGGCAAACAAAGCTTCACAAAAGGCCAGGAAGAGAGACAATCACCGACTGGGGGAGGGGGAGGAGGGAAATAAAAAGGCGATGGGGGGAGAGAAGGGAGAAATATTGGTGGAAGAGGAAGTGGTTTATATTATTTTCTCCCAAACAGTTCCTAATCTACATCCTTTTAGGTGGAAAACACATACTACCCCCCAGCACCCAAGCACAGCAGTGAAAAAGCCTGCAGAAACCAGGTAATTACAGTAAAACACCGCCACCTCCGAAAGAGCTCAATTACCGCCCAGAGCTAAGAGCTAAGGCAGAAGCACCTTTCCAGTTTCTAAGATCTCCGAAACCTTTGGAGAGTGTCGATTTCTCAGGATGCCTTATTTTGAGGACTAAATCTGTCAGTGGAATCTTGATTCATCTTCCCAGGGAAGTAGCGTTGGGGTAGTCAAAGAGTGGGGGTTGGACCTTCACACTTCAGAATCTAGCCTTAAATCTTAACTTAGCCACGCCTTACCATATAAGACTTCTGATTTACCACAGCGTTTAGTGCCCATTCTCCGCCGTCCTGCCAACCTCCAAAAAGTTACTTTGCTACTTAAATGGGTGCATGGGCTTCCCCCGATAGAATGTGGGAGCGCCGTTGAGGGTATGAAGTTTTGTCTTTCAAACTCTGGCACCTAATACAGAATACATTTAAATATATTTTGATTGAGAAGTCAACCAGGACCCTTTCTGGTCCTATTTTCCTTACCTATAAAATGAAAGGTTTGACTAAGTCTCTAAGGCCCCTTTCACCTCGATTAATTTTTATTTTGCTCAGCCAATGCCCCAAAGTTCCTCAAATCTAGCCTCTCCTGAGAGCTCTGCCATCCAGGAACCCTGAGGGTTCTTTTTTTTAAAGTTTGAGTATTTATTTGGGACTTTCCCTAATACTGTAGTTTTATTCCCTTGTAATAAGATTTAGGGTAATAGGAAAGGTTTTTAGAGATATGGAGTGCATCCCTTTCATTTACAGATAAGGGAAACTGAGTGACTAACTCGAGGTTATGCAAGAGCGCTAAGAGACTTGCCAGAGGTAGTAAGGAGCAGAGACAGAACCGGAACCCAAAGTCTTCTCAAAGCGGTGCTCCTTTCACTTGGATACACTTACACTTCCGCATGTAGCTCTGGCCTAGAAGTGCCTAATACAAGTCCCAGTGCCCTGGCTCCTTAGCTAGTCTTCCTGGACAATCTTTAAAATGGAGTCTGGACTTTGCCCTGCGAGGGTGGGGTCTCCTCCCCTCCCCTCTTAGTCTTCCCCTAGCCTTCTGCTAGGGACTCACCGCACAAGGGAAGGCAAGAGTGAGGGACGGGGCGATGAGAGCTACCCAGCCGCCGAAAGAGGACTGCTGCTAGCTCTCCTCTCAGCTCGTCCTGCTTACCTTAGTGGCGGCTCCCGAGCAGCCCCTGTCAGACAGTGGGCTGCGGCGGACGATCACGGATGACCTGGCTCAGGGGAAGGGGGCGCTAGGCCACAGAGCCCATTTGTAAAGGAGATTACGGGAGGATACTCCACGGCAACGAAAATGCGAGAGTTCTTTGGGTTTGACTCGAGAGGGCCGAGCAAAGACTTATATAATGTGGCTAGAGGGGCGGGGGAAGGTGCTCGTCATTGGAGGTGGGAGGAACAAATCCCGGCCTCCGCCTCTGTACTCCGCCCCAGTTGAGGCTCGGAAGAGCACCGCGCAGAGTGAAATAGAGACAGACCCGAACGCTTTGACTGGCAGAGGTGCGGAGCGGACAAAGACTTCCACCCCTTTTGCGTGGACAACGAGGCATTCGAGCTATTACTGGGAAGGAGCTGGGAATAAAAAGATGTGGTCCAAATTTATCCTTAATTGAAGGAGCTCCTAGAGAAGGAGCACTTGAAAAATTAAAAAACCTCCCATGTGCAGCAGGTGTTGGAGCCAGTCTTCTGTCTTCCTCCTTTGCAGCTAGCCCTAGAAGCTTCCTGGACGGGAAGGAAGCCGATGCTTTTAGGGCCCCTCCCCAACTTTGCTTCCATGATTTGTGTCCTTTGGGCGGACGTGTGTGTCTATAGGGTGTGTGTTGGTAACCAAAGTCCCAGAATAGGGTGTGTATGTGTGTGCTCCAAAGTTCCTAGAGTCTGGCCTTGGCATGACTATTCTGAGCCCTTTTCAGAGGCTTTCCAGCAAATTGACAGGACCTTCCTAGCTTGGAAGATAACTCTGAGTAAACCAAATTCCTGAGGTTTCCCATGCCCATTGTCTGTCTTGGCGTTCATAAAAACCCCAAGGTGTATCAAAACTGACCAAAAGACCAGGATGATGAGGGCATCCCCTGATGTGCCCAGGCTGAGGGTTGGGTTGCTGATGGAAGACAGGAATGAGGGGAAGAGGGAGTAGCACAGTTTAGCAGGGGTAGACTTTATATTATCCTCCCTCCCCTCCCCGCCCACACACACTTCAAAGAAATGTATTGTAATTTTATTGAAACACTTTGTTTAAAATGAAATAGCCTGGGTTTTGGAGGTCAGGGGATCTGAGGATGGGTCGGATGGAATCTGTCAGGAATTCAGAGGCAGGTTGCCTGCTATCCTAGTCCTCCAATTCACTCTTCTAGCAGCAGACTTCCTCATCCAGTGTCTGATATGTTTCTTTGAACTAGGACCAGGGCTAGCTCTGACTCCCCAGTGCTACTGTGGCTCTGAAAGTGAAGAATGAAACCCTACCGGGGCCATAAGCTTCAGGGAAGCTGATTGACTAGGAGAAGCAGGGGCTCAGGAAGGAGAAAGGGCAGGGAGAATAGGGCCCCCAATAGGGATTTGGTAAATTCCCCAACAGTCTGAGGAGAGGCAGGGAAGTAAAGATATTGGGGAGTGAGCTGGTTATTCCGATTCATTCAGAACCTAGAAAGACTGCCTTGGGTGGGGCATGACCTGGGGGGGACTGACTGACTGCATAGAATTTTTAGCCTAGAGAAAACCTAGGGAGAATGTTATTTCTGTATTCAGGTATATGAAAAGCTGTTATATGGAAGTGTGTACTTTTCCCCCTGCTTAGACATAGAAGGAAGAAACAAGAGTAATGGGCATATATTGCAGGAGTAAGATTTTATCTTTTTTTAACTCAATTTTATTTTTTCCCCAATTATCAAGCATCAATTTTCTATCTCTCCTTCCCCACACTGAAAAAAAGGGAAAAATCCCACCCCCAAAATTCCCACATTGGCCACGTTAAAAAACAAAACACAACATCTCATTTTTTATACTAGTCCGTCACATCTCTATCAAGAGGTGGGTAGCATTCTTCATCGTCAGTCCTTTGTGATCAGAGTCTTCAGTTCTTTCAAAACTGTTTTTACAATGTTGTTATAATTATAAATTGTTCTCCTGTTTCACTACACTCTGCATCAGTTCACACAGCTCTTCCTAGGTTTTCTCTGTGGCTGTCTCTTTCATCATTTCTTATAGCACAATAATATTCTATTAATTTATATATCATAATTTTTTTCAGCTATTTCTCAATTGATAGGCATCTCCTTAGTTGCTAATTTGCCACTACAAAACAAGCTGACATAAATATTTTTGTAGAAATAGTACTTTTGATCTCTTTCTTTGATCTCCTTGGGATATATGCCCAGTATCAGTATCAGTGGTCAAAGGATATACACAATCTAGTAACTTTTTGAGCTACTTCTAAATTGCTTTCTGGTATAGCTAAGTCATAAAATCACCAACTGTGGAGCTGTTTCCTCCAAATGCCTCCAATATTTATATTTCTTTTTTTTGTCAGCTTTTCTAGTCAGATAGGTATGAAGTAGAATTGCAAAGTTGCTATAATTTTCATTTCTATGATTATTAGTGAATTGGAACATTTCATATAGCTTTAGATAGCTTGTATATTTTTCCTCTTCATATCTTTTGACCATTTATCATTTGGGAAATAGCTTTTATTTTTATAAATTCAAATTAGCTCCATATATATCTTGGAAATGAAACTTTTTTCAGAGAAACATACTGTGGAGATTTTTTTTTTCTCCCAGTTAACTGCTTCCCTTTTAATTTTAGCTGCTTTGGATTTATTTGTGCAAAAAACATTTACATTTTATGTAATCCAAATTGCCCATTTTTTTCTGTGATCTTCTCTATTCCTTTTTTAGGTCTTGAACTCTTCCCCTATCCATTGATCTGAAAGGTAATATTTTCTTGTCCCTCTAATTTATTTTGATGTGATATTTTGTATTTAAGTCAAATATTCATTTGGAGCTTATCTTGGTATGTGATGTGAAATTTTGGTCTAAATCTAATTTCTGCCAGACTGCTGTCCATTTTTTTTTTTGCCATATAGTGAGTCGTTACCCCAGTGTTTGGATTTAGAGAACACTGGACTGCTAAGTTCATTTGCTTCCGTATGTTGTGTACCTAATTTGTTCCATTAATCAACCTGTATTTTAAAACCATTGTCAACTTGTTTTGATGATTACTGCTTTGTAGTTCCTTTTGGGACCTCCATTTTGGGGATGAATGAGGTCCAGGTCAGCCATGTTTCATTCCTTTTCTGGCTGTTTTTCTGATTCTAATGACTTTGCCACTATAGTTTACCTAGGCCTCTCTCATCACCTGGGGCTTTTTCTCCCCACAGTACCCTTCCACCATGCTACCCCCATTCTCTCATTAGTGCATTCCTTTCAGAGCTTCCGTTTTTTGGAGCAGGCCAGCTGTGCTTCATTGCCCTCTAACCTGTGCTTTTGACTCTAAGGATTTTCTACCATATTCTTTTCTTCATTAGAATGTAAGCTTCTCAAGGACAAGGATTGTCTTTCTTTTTGCTTGTATTTGTATCTTTAGTGCTTAGCACAGTGCCTGGTATGTAGCAAATACTTAAATGCTTGATACCTACCTTTGTTGTTGTTTGGTCATTTCAGTTGTGTCCAACTCTTTGTAACATAATTTGGGGTTTTCTTGGCAAAGACACTGGAAGGGTTTGCCATTTCCTTCTCCAGCTCATTTTACAGATGAGGAAACTGAGGCAAGTGATCTTCTCTATTCCTGAGTGACTTGCCCAGGGTCACATAGCTATTAAGTGTCTAAGGCAAGATTTGAGTTCAGGAAGATGAGTCTTCCTGACTTCAGTCCCAGCACTCTATCTACTGCAACAACTGCCCATGGGGATAATACTTGTAATAATCACCTCACAGGGTTGTTGTGAGGGTCAAATGAATTTATGTATGTAAAGATCTTTGTAATCATTAAAGCAATATATAAGGTTCAGTTATTGTCATCATCATTATCCTTATCATCCTAGAAAACATAAATAGCCCTACAGGTTTTATAAGGTTGAAAGAATAAGGTAATATGATCAAGCAATCAACCAAGAATTCATTGAACTCCTACTATGTGCCAGACACTGTACTAGGCCTTGAATGAAGCAATCCTCACTCACAAGAGAAAAAAAAAGGAAGAAGGAGGAAAAAAAAATAAAAACAGGGGAAATCAGGGCATACAGAATGCAGAAAGGAAATAGAGAATGGCACTGGCAAGGCTGGCCCGCAGAGAGCTTGCCATCACCCTGGCTTCTCTCAGTTAGAGAGGGATTCTATAGCTCTTGAGTCATTTGATAAAGGAGACTTATAGGAGGATCTCATTCCCTGAAGGCAGGGGTGGGGAACCTGTGGCCTGAAGGCCACTTGGCCCTCTAGATCCTCTAGAGAGGCCCTTTAATTGAATCCACACTTCACAGGACAACTCCCTTTAATAAAAGGATTTGTGTTGTGAAATTTGGATGTAGTCAAAAGGTAGCACCCAAGGACCTAGAAGGTCACCAGCGGTCTCCAGGCTGAAGGTTTCCCACCCCCTGCCTTAAGGTTTTCCTCCCATTGGAAGCTAAGGTGCCTCCCTGGGAGTGACATTCAGCTGACTGCTCTGAGACACCCTGTTCTTTCCAGCCAAAGGCTATGACGTAACAAGTTATCAAGCAGAAGAATCAAAAAACAACAACAAAAAAGCTTATCCCTAGCATTTGGTAACATTTATCCTTCTAAAGACTTGGAGGAATGGAGGGTATATCAACCAGGCCCCTGTTCGTTAAGGCCTGTGCAGGAAAGATGTCAGGCTTCTATTTTTTAGACATTCTTCTCCCTCGCTCCTGTCTTTCCCATCCTAGTAACGTGTCCTTTCTTTTCTCCTCAATTTTTTCAAATCCAGATGGAATTTTCCATTTATGTTGCACATTGCTTATCTCCTTATCTTCCAAAGAGCACTGATGATAGATCCAATTTTGAAAAGGTATAGAGGTTGAGCAACTAATGGGGACTGGTAAAGAGGTTCTTCTTCAGCTAGGTATTCATAAAACTGGAAGCCCTAGTTTTTACTTTGACAGCGGTTATGAGGAAAATAAAAATAAACTCTATTTGGAAAGTTGGAAGCATTCCATGGTGGCAGGGCATCTGTTGACCTTCTGAACTGAATTTTTTCATTGCCATTTGTGAGCACAAATGAGATATCCTGCTTTTGCAGTATGGTTCTAGACACTGTAGACATTGGATAAGTTTTTGTTAGAATGGAAGAGTGTCAGTGACTACTCCAGTTAGGGATGGCAATAAG